AATTTTAAATCCTTATGAAGTTTGAGTGTGCTCCTTTATTTTTCCTTTTTGTTCTTATACTTAGAAAAGGAAATTATCCCTAAGAACAATATAATTTTTTTTCATGTTTGAAATGTCAAAATTATCACTTAGTAGTTTATTGCATGAACTGAGGACTGTTTGTATACTTTCTGTCATGTTATATTTGTCTTACTGATCTTGACACAAGTACTATATTAATTCATTTAGTTCATTTTACAACATCCTTTATTATCTTATAAAACTTGCAAAATATTATTTAGGAGGTAGTACGACATACTCCTTTGTATACTTTCCATTTCTTCTTTTTCCTTTTTACCTATGTATACTCATTCTGAAATCATAAGACTAAAATAATATTTAAAGACAACTGATAAGCAATATTTTATTTTTTTCAATTTTTATAATTTTTGAAACTGTTCTATAGATTTTTTCTTTGAATACTGTCACTATTAATTATCTAGACATAAAATACTACAGAATATATTAAAGAATGATGTGTGCTATGAAACTAACCAATTTCTTTACAAAATTATTCAAAATTTTTCAATAATTATGTACAGGTTTGGGAGAACTATTTCTCTGTAGGGATTCTCTTGCAAAAAATATTGTCAATGTTTTATATCTTTTAGCTTTTAAGTTTATTTTAAAACTTTAAGAAAGCTCCTTGACATTTGTAGTAATTTAATGTCATTATTATTATTATTGTCTCATTTCTGGTTTTAAGAGAAAACGTGTTCAAATTTTTTACAACTTAGTAGGATGTCTGTTATGTGTTTTTAGTGTTCAGCCTTTACTAAAAATTGAGGTTAGATCCTTCAATATTTAATTTCTTCAAGGTTTGCAGTGTAAAGGGATGTTGCACTTTGTCAAAGTCTTTTTTGGCATCGACTGAGATGATTATATGATTCTTATATTTTATTCAATTTGGGTGCCAAATTACACTGATTGAATTGCATATACTGAACCATTTACACATTCCTGAAATGAAACCAACTTGACTAGGGTGTCTTGTCTATGGCCATATCACCCTAACTGCACCTGATCTTGTCTGATCTCAGCAGCTAAGCAAGGCTGGGTCTGTTTAGTACTTGGATGGGAGACGGTGGTGTATGGACTTTATAATGTGCTAGTGAATTCAATTTGCCCCGGTGTAGTGAGGGTTCTTTCACATATGTTCACCAATGGGATTGGTCTATAGTTTTCTTTCTTTGTTTTGCCAGGTTTTGATAGGCTTGTTTTGGATAGTAGGTTAATAGTAGATTTGTAGACTGGGTTTAGAAGGATTTATTTCCTTTCTATTTTCTGGAATAGTTTGAGTAAGAGTGAAGTAAGTTCCTTATAGCCTTGCTAAAATTCAGCACTGTATCTTTCTGATCCCACACTTTTCTTTGTGGGGAGATTTTATTAGTGCTTCAAATGCATTGCTTGTTATTGTTCTGTATAAGTACTTTATGTTTTCTTCATTAAACTTGGAAAGATCATTTATTTCTAGAAATTTATCCATTTCTTCTAGATTTAATAATTTATCAGCACATAATTTTTTAAAGTGTCCTTTATTAAACATGGTACTCCTGCTTGCTTTTGTATTTCACGCTCTTGGAATATCTTTTTTCTGGCCTTTCATTTTTGTTCTGGATATGTCTGTACTGGTAAGGTGTGTTTCTTACAGGCAACAAATAGTTTGGTCTTGTTTTTTAATCAAATGAACCAGATTGCATCTTTTATCGGAGAATTTATACTATTCACTTTCAGGGTTATTAAAACATTTGTACTTTTATTCTTTTCATTTTTTTCATTTTTCTTTTGATGGTTTTGAATAATCTATGTTTCTTCTTGCATTATTTATCATAAAGTTTTGATGCTTCATTGAGTAATGTTTGATTCTTTCCTAATTCTCATTTGCTTATTACTCTTCTAAAGTATTTTCTTTTATTTCTGCACTCTAATAAGTGTGCTTATCTTGTGTTCTCTCCACTTTGTAGGGTTCCTTAAATTATCTTCTGTGATGTTTGTTTGATGGTCCTGAATTCCTCTAGTTTGTGATTATCTTGGAAGGTCTCTATTTGTCCTGTAATTCTAAAGGATAACCGTTCTGGGTATGTTACTCTAGGCTGGCAGTTACTTTCTTTCACTTCTTGGAATACATTATTTTAGGACATCCTGGCCTTCAGCATTTCTTCTAAGAAATTTGTTATTCTTATGGGTTTGTCTTTATATGTGACTTAACACTTCTTTCTTATGCCTTTCTTTCATTGTTTTGTACTTTTGGAAGTTTAATTATATCCTGCCATTGAGGTGTACTTTTCTGGTGACGTTTGATTAGGGTTCTGAGTTCCTCCTGTGCCTCCTTGTCTATACCATTCCCAGTATTTGGGAACTTCTCGGCTATTATTTCCCTTAATGAGTTTTCTATGACTTTATTTGTACCTTGACCCCACCCTTGCTTACTTCTATAATTGTTTAGTCTTTTTAATTGATGTCCCATGTATCTTGGATATTCTTTTCATTTTTTTATTTTGTTTTACTGTTGTATGCATTTAAAAGTTCATTAATCTTGTCCCAAAATACTAACTTCTTTCTTTTTGCAAGATCTATTCTACTAGGGAGGTTGTCAACTGAGTTTTTATTACACTGATTAAGCTGCTGTCTGATAGGTTATGGGCAAAGCCTAAGTTGGGGGTGCTTCTAGGTGCAGTATACTCAGCTTTCGTGTTGTATTTCTTTGCTGTTGCTGTTGAGTTGAATAGCCAGGAACACACCTTCAACTTCCCCCTCCCAGCCATGCCTAGCTGGGGCGGATTTATTGGATGGAGGCTTTTAGTTCCTCTATTCTTTATGTTGCAATGTTCATCAAGATTCATGTGGCTCCAGGTTATGGGTAGAGTATGGTGTAAATTTTTTTAAAACTGGGCTGAGACTTTAGCTCAGTAGCAGAGCATCTATCCAATGGGTGTAAAGAGTCAGTCTCTAGCTAAAGCACCGGGGAAAATATACAGCAGAAATTACAAGAAATGAAAGCAGACCAGATACAGAAATGAAGCAAAGCCAGTTAAAAACTGCAGTATCATTCTAATCTGAATAACATTTTGGCTAGGCTTTTAATTTTACAGTACACTGTTGTTATTCTCTAATTATTTCATTAGAATAAACTATCAAGTTGAGTGACACTTTCAAAAATTTGAGAGAGGAAAAAGAGAAAAATAATGCCAGGAAATGAGACAATTCAAAAGGAGAAAGGAAAGCAGGTAAAGATAGAAATTGAAAGCAATTTTAAAACAATCAAAAAAGACAATTTAAAAACTTTTGACTATTAATAGAGAAAAGAAACAGTTAAGAAATATGTGTGTATATATAAGCCAAACAGCAAATATCAAAAATGAGGTCTTAATAGAAAATGAGAGTGTTGTCTGTGGAACCTGGGGCTTATTCACCCCTTCCTCCCTACTTTTGTGTTGCTTACCTAGGTTGGGAATAGTGTCAGGCTGAAGCCGGACTAGCTGTCAGCTGTTCTGGTTCCCAGTCCCTCTGCGGGAATTCACTGCAGAGACCTTATCTGGAGGCACTCCCAGGGCTGGGCCGACAGAAGACTCTGTAGTATGTGTAGGTCTCCAGTTCCCTTCCTGAAGCCTATCCAGGCAATCGGGCAGCTATCTGCAGAGGGAGGACCCACACAACCTACCACCCACAGCCCTCGTCTTGTGAGACGCAGCTAACTGCTAAGTGCTCACGTTCGCCTCCTCATTTCCTGGCTATCTCCAGGTGGAGAGCCAGAGCCACTCGTCTAAATGAGGAAGTGAACTGCACTCCTTTCCCGATCATGTGCCGCTGGCTGCACGGTGTGTTTAGCAGCTTTGCTTCAGGGGCACTACCCAAGGGCAGAACTGGTTCTCTAGGTAGAAGGCCGAGGAGACAATACAGTCATAGTTTCTGGATGTTCCCAAGAGCAAGAAAGGGCAGGGGCTTTTGTGTTCCAAATCAGCAGGCTCAGAAAGAGGCTTCTCAAAATGTCTCCTATCACAGTCCTCCAGGCGTAGTTCGTGAGAGGGAGAGCTTCTGCAGCCTCAGCTCACGAGGAGGGTCTCAGATCAGCTGTTTCACACTACCCTGACTAGTCAGCTTTTAGTTGCTGGCACCAGTTCCCAGTATCTACCGTGTAAGAGGAAGGATTTCCTTTTTCTCACAGTTTCAGCAGCAGAAACATAATGGTAGAGGTCCTGGGAAGAAAACTGTTTGGTTCATGGCAGCCGGGAAGCAAAGCCTGGCTGAAATCACTACAAAGCAAAAGGGCTAGAAAGCAGACACAATCACCGAGTTCACCAGCATGTGGCCCACGCCACGACGGCTGCCCAGGTCACACCGGAAGTGTGCCCTACTGGCCTGCGAGGTCTCTGTTGTTTCACTCCAGCGGACAGTCACACCTGAGCTTCATATTGCCCTTGGGCCCAGTGTGGATTTCTGTGCCAGCTGTGCCCCTTGGGGCCCGCACTTTCTCCCCCTCTCTTGGCTGCCCTCACCCTCCGCTGGACTGCCTTGCCTTTGTTACTAGGGCGCTTCTTCTCCTGCTCTGTTCCGTTCTGCACTCTGGTTTTCTCCAAGTCTCTGTCTACTACTGAACTTTAGCACTTTCCTGCCCTCACCTACCTCCACATGCAGGCTTTCTCTCCTTTTGATTTGCTTCCAGTTCACCATTTTGAAATTTACTTTTTAACCAAAAAAATGTATTAACTATAACCAGTAATTTTACTTCACAAATATTAAATGAGTACAATGAGTAAACTGATTTTATCTTTTTGAAAACATAATAAATATTAAATGTCTTATTCTATCTTGTAGCATCTATCTGCTTAAATAGTCAATAATAAATCACAAATGTTTTTAATACTATTTTCACATTATTATTTACAATAGCATTTTAAATTTGAAAGTTATTTGTAGTTATTTTTGTAGATTGAACTATCTAAAATTATCTTCTATTGTAGGTTAGTAGGATGGTTTGGTCACGAACTCAGCACTAGATTTAAAATGGATAATAGTAAGTATATTGAATTTCACTCCAAATGTTATTTCATTTTAATTTACTTTAATTTTCATGTTTTTTGTCTTATATGCCCTATGAAGAGTGCACTTTGAAAATGTCACTGAGAGTTCTTAAAATAAGAAATAGCATTTTCAGTATGCAAGACTGTTTATAGATTTTAGCATGATATTGAGTCTATTCCTTTGTAAAGAGATGAAAGGAAATGAAATCTAATATATGGCTGATGTAGCATAGTCAGATCCTATCAACACAGTGTCCAAACGTAAGGCAGTAAAAGCAGGAGCGAATTGATCACTTGAGGCCAGACCCCAAGTCTGGGATGTCAATCAAATTGCTGCTTAATAGTTCTGTGACCCTGAAAATCACAATAAATTTTCTTCAGCCATAGTGTCTGTTGTTCCACATACCTACTGTGAATAATATGTATTTTAGGATTTGGATAATTGTGTATCAAATTCAAAGCTATAAAACAAGTAGCATATAACACTACTTTAAAACCCCAAGGTAAAAAAAATGAAACTTTGCCATACAGAGATCATCATCGAGAGGTTTGATGACATAGCATAAACTAGATCCTTCCAAATGCTGCCAATCTGAAGATATCATTTTATTTTATTTTTTTATTTTTTATTTTTTCCAATACTGGGAATTGAACTCACAACCTTGTGCTTGCCAGGCAGGCACTGTGCCGCTGAGCTAAATCCCCAGCCCCGGGAGATATCATTTTAAATATACCTACATTTTCAAGGTTCAAAGAGCCGGGATAGCATCTCCCAGTTAAATCAGGAAACCTGTGCGTCATCCTTGCTGCTGAAATAACAGGATCTGTTATTTCATTTTGTCAGTTATTTAAAGTTTTTTAGGTAGATTTTCTTCTCAGTAAATGAAGAAGTTTGATAAGATCAGGGGTGGGAAAACTTTTTTTGAAAGACAAAGTAGAAAATATTTTAAATTTTGGGTTATATAATCTCTGTGGAAAACGCTTTGTATTATACTACTAAATTTAGGGAAACAGCTTCAGGGAACATAGAGAAATGATTGTGACCACATTCTCATTAAACTTTTTACACATTGTAGTTTGACTAGTCCCAGATTACTTGAATTTCTAAAGAGCTATAAGCTTTTAACATTTTCTTAGTCAAGTTTATTTTTAACTTAAATTATAAATAGCTATGTAATTATTTTGGATTTACAGGTAATTTACTACAATTCATTGTACTTAATCTAAGTATGATAATGGGTATTGTATTATCTTTTTAATGTATCATACCTAGGTGGATCTTTTCTTTTGATAAATAAAAGCTTCTTTCTTTTTCCTAAAAAAAAGACACTTGGACTAATAACCCTAGAGCTAACCTCATTAGTTCATTTTTTTCATCATTTAGCCTTTGGGGGACATGATAATTATGTGTTATCCAAATCTTGGTGGTATCTCTCATGGCAAATCTTCACAACAGAAAAGCTAACCAAGAAGTAGACCAGGGAATGCTAGCTTAGGACTCAGGCAGCAGAGGGCAGGCTCCAGGAGAATTTCTGGAAGACTCACTCTGATGTTGTGTGGAACGGTTCCAGTGTTCCATCATCTGCTGAAAAGGTGGGACAGGGCAGATGGGAATTGCTGCAGGGTGGTGGTGGGGCTATACTTGGGCCAGTTAATCCTGTCAATTTGACTGGATTAGTGAGTTTCTGAACGGGTGACTGAATTGTGAGGCATTAACTTAATGTGTCAACCCAGTAATGAGTTCAAAGCCAAATGAGCCATTAGAGGGTGGGCTCTTCAGAGTGAGTCCTTAGTCAGTGACCTTGAGGACCCTGCGTGGTCCTGGTCCCTGGCCCCGCCCCTCAGGCTCTTCCCCAACTCCCTGCTTTCTGGCTGTCATGAAGTGAGCAGCTTGATGGGGGCCATGCTACTTCTGGCTCAGCATGACTTAAGTAGTGTCTTAGTTACCTTTCTATCATTGCTGAGACAAAAATACCCAACAGCCAAAGTTAAGAGAGGGAAGGTTCATTTAGCTCACAGTTTCTGGAGGGTTCAGACAATCAGCTGGCTCCAAGGCACGGTGGTGTATCAGAAGGACAACAGTTCATGGCAGTGGAAGACAGCAAAATCAGCAAGAGCAAAAAGAGGGAGAACAACCTCTTTCCCTCCCTTACATCGTATGCAGGCTACATACTCTAGGGTGGGTGTAGCACTTACATCCTTAATTCCAGCACTACACAATGAATCAATCACAAGCTCTAAATTCAGCTGCCTCCAAAAAGCCAACTCCTCATGACCTCATGAGGCTTTGGGGGGACATTTAGACACAAACCATAACAAGTGGTGACTTTCCCCCAGCAAGCTATTCTCCCTTGAAGCCAGTTGAACCATGGAATAAAACCTTGGAACTGTGAGTCAAAATAAACCTTTTCTCCTTTAAATCACAGGCATCAAATATTATGTTCCAGAAATGGAACCCTAACCTGCTCAATGCTAGTATTTTCACTCCTTTGGGCTTCTCTTAACTATCTCAGAAATCTCACCTAGGAAAAAGTTTAAATTTCATTCTTTTACTCTTCATATTTCTTTACTGATTTGGGATATCTTTTAAGGTATCTTCTATAATAATGACCATGTATTAACTTTTGCAGAGCTGAAGTTAATCCCTGGGGTCAGTGGATTCCGCATTTCCAATCCTCCCATTTTGCTGGTCTGTTCCTTGCATGCTAGTTTGGAGGTAGGAGATCTGCGCCTCAGCCTGCCCACGTCTTTATCTTTTTTCCCTCCCGGGTTGTGCCTGATTATTGTGCTTTCTGTGCTAGTCAAGGAGAGTATACAAATGCAGTCTGAGTGAAGAAGGAACAAAAGGCAGCACTGTTCTGCTGAGACAGTGGCTGTATGATGATCACGATTTTTCTTTTATATTTCACTTCTATCACAGTGTCTGCACATTGTTGACTATAAATAATTGGAGTTGGCTTAGGCAGACATTATTTTGCTCTGGTTAGTAAATTTGAATAAATTATTTGACCTTTGCTAGTTTTTCTTTAAATAAAATAAGCTTGTAATATTATTTCTTCATCAGTTCACTCAGGAAACAGGTACTTATTGTGAAAGTATCACGGGTCAGACATTATGATTGCTGGAAATTGTGTTTCTTCTGGTGGCATGAACCAGTGCATTGGAAAGTGCTACATGACAAGGCTAAAGAAGGCTCACTTTAATGTGGGGGAGGCTATGAATAATCAGAGCAAGCTGAACATTAAAAAAGGTTACTGCATTACACAATGTAGATGTTTGCTTTATTTGCTGGGTTTTCTATGCTGTTATATCCACATGTAATCTCTAATATGCTGAGTCAATATTTAATCTTAAATTAATTCATATTTTTGCATAAATTCAGTCAAACCCTAAAATTAACATTTATAGAGTGAGTTATTCTAGTTATGCAATATATAGTTTATATATAATATGCATGTTATATACACAGATTGTTTATTTTTTAAATAGATAAATATATATATAGAGAGAGAAAAACAAACTGACTTGTCATTAGGGCTAGATGAAGTCCATTAATGTAAATACATATTGTTAATAATTTAAAGCATATATTAATATTAATACAACATGAATCATAATTTATATTTATAGAGAAAAATATATTTTAAATAAATATACATAAATAACAAATTTTTTACATACAGCCACTAAAAGAAAAAATTTGAAGTTACTTTTCTTCACTGTATTCTAAAATCATTTAGCTTATGATATTTTAGGAAATCCTGCGGTGGGTTCCAACATCAAATAAAGGGCAGCTGCTTTTAAATCCTGAATTGTGGGATTTTTGTGGCAGTTCATAGCAGTTTTCATTCTGGTCGCTAGGTGGCAGTGTCAAGTTCCTCTATTACACAACCTGACCACAAGACAGTGATAATCTCACTTTCACTTCACCCCGAATTAGAGCGCACCTACCAAGTTGGACCACAAGGTGGAGCATGTGCTATTTTCACGTTGACTTTTTTTTTTTTTTAACATTGGAAAATAGAGTCACAAGATTTCCAGACTTCGACAAATTTTTCTTTCTTAAAAGTTTTTAAAATAAAAGTATTATGACAAAACCAGATGCAAATATTTGAGCTGCTTGATAATATCCATTTAGATAAGCATTTTGTTTGAAGATTTTAAAATATAGGAAAGTTCTAGCCAACTTTGCAAATCTTTTTCTAGGAGAGGATAAGTTAAAATACGAAAGGCACCCAATTGTTCCTTGGGAAGGACTGGTGCTTAACATAACTTTCTCTGATTTTCACCTTTACAAAATGACTTCTCAGACGTATCTCAGATTTTCTTTTCAGAAGCGCCCGTTTTGGTCTGTTGTACGCAGAAAGCTAGCTTTTCTCCCAGCACTCCTTCCTCTCGACGTGAGGAAAGAGGCAGATGCCTGTTTTTCTCACCACTAGCTTCCTTCCACACTGTTTGAGTCACCTAGGCAGAGTTCCACTCCTCAGAATCTGAAGATCGCTTAATTTTTCCCATTAATATCTAATTTTAAATCTAGCAAAAGGATCCTGGAAGCCAAAAGAAGAGGGGTGTGCACATCTCTGCAGTTTATTATCACTTATGTATTTCTCCTGAGCTTCCTGTGAAAGTCATTCAGTACCAAACTGTTCTGACCAGAATTGTCTTCAGTTAGTCAAGTTTTATTTTGGGAGAAGTGTTTTTCAAAGTCCATCCTTCTCGTTATAAATCATAACATTGCAAAATCACACAGTAATATGTGCTTCTCACTCTGTTAAACAGTCTACTTTCTATGTATTTCTGGGTTAGCAAGTGAGTCAACATCAGTGAATTCACATGTCAGCATTGACCTTATCTTTCAAAAGCAATTATTGCATCTTAAGAGACAATCTGATTGAAGTCTGAGTAAGTGAAAGAAAGAAATTCATAAATCAAAGAGCCTCTGGAGTGCTTCAACTTTCCATTCTAGAAATGCTGTACTTCTGCTGGAGACAGTCCATACTTAAGAATCAATTGTACTTGAAAATGACCTCAGATTCTCAATATATACTTTAAAAGACATATTAATATGACTTTGTTTAAACCACATGGGCATATGATAGATTGATATCATTAAAATAATACTTTATTTCAAGCTTTTTCTTTGTATAGTGGATTGTGATCATTCATACAGTCATTTAAAAGTATTATGCACAAAGGGAGATAGAATCAGACTAGGAATGAGAAGGCATACACTAAATGTGACATGGTATGAGCAGTTATTGCTCTTGAACTCATTTGTCACCTTTTGCTAATGAAGATATTTACAGCAGAGTAGTTCAGAAGTTCTCTCATCCTTCTAGGTACTACTTTTTGCAATTTGCATATATTTTATTTTGAAGGATCATATTTACAAATAGCAATAGGTAGACAGTTTTTATATTTATTCAGTATTTAAATTCATAATGAAATAAATTGCTTCAAAATAAAAATAAAGCAACTCAATTAAAATATATGGAATATATTTTAATAGAACAACAGAAAAGAACAGCATAGAAAGGTGTCATTTCCTCACAGTGGTGATTCAGAACCATTTTAAGAATTCAAGACAGAAATCTTAACAATGAAAATATCACACTACGCAAACTTTCTCTATTTAATTTTAATTTTTCTAGCTTTGTGTCCATTTTACTCATTAAGAAAAAGTAACCAACATAGCAGAAACTTTGCCAAGAATTCCGTTACGAGTTGAATGTCTCAAACTACACATTAAATTTTTCTCTAATTAAAATTCATTCTTTCTGAATACTAAAAGGAGAAAATTTTCAGGAAAAAAAGAGGATATATGTTCCGTTTCCCTCTTAACTCCTATTAGCTCCTCTTATTATTTTTATGTCAAGCCTCAGAATATATTTTTGCCTTATGGGGAAAATTTAAAATTACCTTCAGAATACAAATTACTTTGTACTCATAATTTGGAAAATATTTTTATATTTAAAAATTTTTTTATTACAGAGAAACAACATTCCAGAGTATATTAAAGTTCAGACTATTTGTCATAAAAAGTGATGTCTAGTTATCAAGAGAAATCTGTTTTTAAAAAGTATAAGTAATACTCTCCAAAGAATTACTAATTTATGAATGCAACTAATGAGCTATGAACTAGTGAACTTAGGAGCTATTATTAAAAATGTACATGCAGCCCTCCATATTTATAGGTTTTTCCTCTGTGAGTTCAAAATATACATTGAAAATATTCAGGAAAAGTACTGCAAATGTGCACACTCTTTCATACCACAATTTCCTAAAAAAAATATAGCATAGCAACTAGCAATAAAACATTTATATTCCACTAGACATTTAAAGTCACCTAGAGATGATTTAAGACATATAAGGGGAGCTCAGGCTGTATCTCAGTGGTAGAGCACTTGCTTAGCATGCCAAGTCCTTAAGTTCAAACAATAACAAAATATAGGGCTAGGGATATAGCTCAGCAGTACAGCTCCCGCCTGGTAGGCCTGAGGTCATGAGTTCGATTCACGGTACCAGAACAAGAAATAACAAAAAATGAAATTGGTAGTTATGTGTAGGACATATGCCATATTGTGCCATTTCATACAATGGAGTTGGACACTGCAGATTTTGATATCTGCAGGGTGTCCTGGAACCAACGCCCCACCAACACGTAGGGACAATTGTACTTCATATGTTAGCCTACCTGTACAGTATAAGGCCAAGAGTGGAACTAGAATATTTTATAGAATTATTTTAAATTAAAATTTCCTAGAATATTGGGACAATTGCTTTTGTCATTTCTTATTCCAAACTTTACCAGTCAAACTATTTGTGGTTGAGCCTCTCCAGTGTCTGCTCCTTGGCCCTGGGACAATGCTGATCTAAACCTTGGCCGAGTTCCCTTGGGTCCTCTTTAGTCCAGGGCTACCTACATTTTGTTTTACATAAGGAAATGAAAAACATGCCTCCAACCAATTCCTTGCAAGTCAGGTCACTTGACTTCTAAGGCAGAATTGTTTGCACCCAGGCCTCCAGGACCTTCTGAAAACAAAGATATCAGCCAATGATTGCAGATGACGCCCCCAGAGGTGTCAACCTCAACCCATGAGGTGTGCACAAGAGAAAATAATACATTCTGTCTTCTCTGTTCTTTCTGTCTTCTGCAGATAAGATTCCCGTCAGTACATGCATCCACTCCTTCCCATCCTCCTCCTGTCCTCTACTTTACCCGCCAATACATGCATCCACTCCTTCCCATCCTCCTCCCGTCCTCTACTTTAGCCAAGGCATCGTCTCCACTCAGTATAGTCACAGAAAATCTGTACCTGGAGACTCAAGTCCTGTTGGAATGATTGCCCACATGCCATGAGCACATACAAAAAATAACTGTTTTCAGAGATATGGTGAAGTGTAGATATCACCAAATGACCCTGTGCTTGCTTTTGATACTTTTGCTCACGGTATAGCAAAGTATAGAAAAGGCACATTAAGAGCACGCCAGGGCGTCGTGCTGTCAGTGGTTCATTTGCTTCTTATTTGAAGGATGTATTTTTAAACTGCTTGACCTTAAGAGATAAGCCAGAAGAGCATGTCCATCCTGATCCCTGATGTTCCAACAGCAGTTATTGTGTGGCCTTGTCACTCATGTTAACATAAGGCACCTCAGTGAGCAAACTGCAGTATTTCACACCAATGACAGAGTCTGACAGGAAAAAAAAAATAATGAAGGAATAAAAGGGAGGAAAAGAGAAAGTAATACTTCAGTAATAAATGTATTTTGGAACATTATTTGCTTCCCTTTCTGGAAAATCTTAGTTTAATTGTTTAACTTCTTTTTTTCTAACTTCTATTCTGGAGAGATATAGGAAATAGTAAATCAATTACAGATAATCCTGGTAACACTGCCTTCCACAAATACACACATACGTATCTCGTACTTTTTGTGGAACTAAGAAAGACTACATAAGAATATAGAAAATGATTTTGAGGGGCTGGGGATTTAGCTCAGCAGCAAAAGCGCCTGCCTGGCAAGCACAAGGTCGTGAGTTCAGTTCCCGGTACCGGAGAAAAACCAAAAACAAAAAAGAAAATGATTTTGAGTTATAGTTTTGTAAAATTATTTTAGGAAAAATGTTTAAATTTCATAATATTTAAATGAGCTTAGTGAGGTGTGTTTCACTTGGTAATTATCCTGTCAATTAAAATGTCTCTGAAGGAAGATATTCTCAACTTTTTCTTTTGGAAGTAGTACTTAAATGACACTTGCACAATTTTTCTATCAGGAGAACTGCCTTCAATATTTAATGGCAAAACATGAAAAACGTGTCATGTTTGTACAGAACAAATGATCTAAAATGAGATATTTACTGGAGAGGTCAAAAGTGGGCAGTTCCTTTTTTACGCCTGATTTTCACTTAATTTTTACTTCTCTGTAAATCAATACGACACTGTTAGTCTGGTTATTTCTTTTTCTGCAGATCTTTCAACAAGCGACAATAAAAGCATTGAGGAAAAAATCCATTTTGTTAACTGGTTATCTGGAATACTTGATCAAGTTGTACTGTAGCAGACAGAAAGCAGAAAAAAGGGGACCAGCGGTGAACATAATCACACCTCCAAACATAGAGGAGCGGGGATGCCAGTTAACACTAGCATTTTCTAGAACCCAAAAAGACGTTTTTGAAGAACTACACAAAAGAGGAGTCGTTGTAAGTATATTGCTGGAGCTGCTGGACAATTTTCTCTGTGGGCTAAATGTTGAGGGTAAAGTTTGCATTCCTGCGTTTATTTATTGTTGTGTATCATTTCATCTTAATGACTCAGTTGAGATACATTGTTGATTAAGCATTGCTCTGTGCTACTTGAAGGCCTGTCTACCTGTCAGGTATGACAACTACTAATCTTGGGTATAAGAAATGATTTTTGGGCTGGGGATTTAGCTCAGTGGCACAGCGCCTGCCCGGCAAGTGCAAGGTCCTGAGTTCTATTCCTGGTACTGGAAAAAAACCAAACAAACAAACAAAAATGATTTTCACATAACTTACTAATGATTTTCATAACTGTTGTCTTAGAAATTAATTATTTCATCATAATAGATTAGAAAATATTTTTCATCAGCTCAGTAGTTTTGAATCACAAAAATCCCACTACATTTATTTTCTATACAGAGCAAAAAATGTAATTTACTCAAAGATAAAAATCAGCCTTCTTTATTTGCTTGATTGCACTAAATTATTTCCCCTTCCCTTGTCACTGCAGCCCACTAGGCGGACAAATTTTTCTAGAATAGTAAAAGGCAAAAGATTTCTACGATCTGAAAAGAAACCACAGTGAAATTTTTCTAGAATGGTAGTACTACAGGAAATAATGTTTTGTTTTTCTCCTTGTTTGTTAAATCTTGGACCTAAATGGCGTCCTTCATCTTTTAAAGAGAACTAAGAAATTATTAACTGAGTAACTTCAAGGGAAACCGATGGTAATGTATTTCTAAAGATAATGTAATTTAGGCATTGTTCCACTTCTGTCACACTCATATCTATGGGAAAGTCACCTCAGATTCCAGAGGCACAAATCAGAAAATCAGAATTACAAATCAAGCTCAACCCTGTCCACGTTGACTGTTGTTGGGAAAGTTCCTGAAGAACCGTTGGCTTGAAATTTCTCATCTATATTTAGGGTTTAAAATGTATTTCTGGGCATTTGATGGGGAACCACACAGATTATGTACCTTTAAATGGTTATTTCTTTTCTTAAAAGAGAAAAAAAAACGACAACAAAGATAAAAACAAGACAACACAAAAACAATAAAAAACAATACAGAATTTCAAAATAAGATGACAGGAATTAACAAGGGTTGTTATATTACATATTGTTATTGTCTATGAAATTTCTCAGATTGCCTGATGTAAGAATGCAAGATTGACCAAACAATTAAAGAGAATAAAAAATAATAAAAACAAACATTAGAAATGATACACATAAGTGAGGTACAAGATAAGTACAAGAAAGTCTTAATGGTTATTTCTGGAAGTTGACCCTAGTGAGCAACTTCAGGCAAGGCAAATAATCTGGTCCTACTTCAAGACCCAGTAACATTCACAGAAATATACCCACCACATTATTTTTGAGTTCAGAGATTAGAGAATTGCATTTAAGGACAATGTGCTAAAGTTCTGTAGATCACTGTGACATTCTTCTTTTGTGAGGGAAATTTCGGAAGTCAAACTCAGGACCTCACACTTGCCAGGCTGGCACTGAGCCTCAGCTGGACTATATCCCCACCCCACCCCCGTGATATTCTAATTTATTTAAAAATGTCCAAGGGCTTTGTCTCCTGCACAGTTCCTCTCAGCAAAACTGTAATAAGACCTATTATTAGCAGTCTTCAACCTTTTGGACACCATAGACTGCTTTCATGAAAGATAAGTATTCCACATACAGGTGAAGTGTGGGCATGTGAGAGGATGGATTGGGGATGATTTCAAAGGCGCGAACAACCAGATCCCTTGCTTGTATAGTTCACAGTAGGGGTCCTGCTCTTAGGACAGTCCAAGGGCTCCCCTGATCTGACAGGCTGCGGAGCTCAGCAACAAGGAGTGACTCCCCGAGCTGTCCGGGGATGCTCTCGCTGTGCAGCCGGGTTCCTAACGGCCCATGGATGAGCACAAGTCCACAGTCAGGGATTTGGTGACCTCTCATCTATTTGATGTTGATGGAAGGCAACTTCCGTGTAGAATTCAGCAAACCACATTGGATCTTCACATTCCAACCCACTATTATTTTAACTATTATTCAGAAGACAGTTTCAAATAATGAAATACCACATCTTACTTAGAGAGACAAAGCTTACATATTAAGGTTTGGAGAAGTTACTGTGACTGCTTTATGAAAGTTTGTCTTGAATGTAGATTTTCAGTAAGTAAAAAGTGCTAGTAACATTTTGAACTTACCTTGTTTTTCTCTCCTTAGTGTGACAAGAGAGAACCCCATGGCATTCGAGTGGCTCCAGTTCCCCTCTACAATTCTTTTCATGATGTTTATAAGTTTGTGAATCTGCTTACTTCTGTACTTGATTCTGAAGAAATAAAAGATTAGCAATGTTTTGTTAGAATAATTTAAGCAAATGTTGCAAAAATTTATAATAGCACTATTACTCTTCTCATCTTAATTATTAAAGAATATTTCAAAATTTATTAAAGGTAACTGGTAACAAATCATATACATTACAGAAAAATCTGATTTTCCCAAATGTCTATAGTTCTGAGGAATGCACGTGGCTACCCACTTTCTTGGTGTTTAGCAAATGCATTGGGTTTTCATTCTCTAGCTATCACATTTCATGGGCTTTGACATGTTTTTTGTTGGTTTAATTAATAATCTAGCTTCAAAATGTACGTGGAATTCTTCAGTCAATAATGGAAATATTACTTAATTTTAATTTACCAAGTTTTTTTTTAAAGAACTGTGATTGAACAGTCTGTTTTATGTATGATTTTATAATGTTCCAATCAATTTGAGGAAAACACATGTTCTATGACAGTGGCTTTCTAATGTTCTTTTGGCCACAATGTACACTAAAACACATTAAATATCAGAGACCATTATTGGTAAGGGGACACACATTATTTAGTGGTTCTAATACATTTTTGTCACATTTTAGCATCTCTGAAAGGTGACCGAGTATTTACATTTTCAATAATTAATTTCTTTTAACTACCATTATCCCTTTTTCTGCATTACTATCTTTCACAATAAATCAGTGACATCTCAGATTTGATTAAAAAATAGTATGTGTAGGAAAAAAGTTCATAAATTCTCTGAGCTCTGTTATTTATTACTCTAATTTATCTATTCAAGAAAGGATACTTGAAACTAAATTGATATCCCCATCCACTCTTGTTTGCCCTCAAGGCTTTCCATGGGCGGTCCTTCATTTTATATTATCATAATGGAAACCTACCCTGATAAGAGTTCGGACAGTACTCTGTCTCTCTAGCGGTGAATGAGACTCTTCAAGATATTAATGATTGAAGATTAGAATTAGGCGATGAGCGTTTCATCTTTTGGCCTCTTTATTTCACATTTATGGGCCCTCTTTAGTCACTATGAAAAGTAAGGTTAAACACAGCCCTGCTGGATTTCCCCAGTTTTCAGAGTTGATGTCACAATCAGAACTTATGAATTAGCAAGACACTCTGCATTTGTACACGTAAATAGCAAGAAAGTGTTGGTAGCGGCTGGAGCTGGATATTAGTCATATGTGGGAGGGCGGGACAGAGCCAGAGTGCCTCAAGCAGTCAAGCTGCCTCAGTCTTCAGAAAAGCAACCTGCCTGGACAATTTCAGTCACTAGGCAACATTGCCTCTCATGATACTAACTTTGCAAGGGTATAAATTAACGCCATTGCTAACGTTGTTCAGTCCTCTATCCCTCCGAGGTAAAGAGGCTACTCCACCCCATCCCAGCTTTTGTCTCTTCTTTTTATTTTCCTCATACCTACCACTGATCCTCCCTGGAGTACAGCAAGAGACCAAGGGGTTCTCTGCAAGGAAGAGTGACTACAACATAAACATTGCTCTTCACTGGGTGAATTTGAACAAAATAAAGAGACAACTACTTTGGATGGCATTGTTAAGAAGTGTGTGAAATCTGACAACTTGCAACAAGGCTTATTCACTTATACATGGAAAACTTATCGCAGACAGGTTATGTTGCATCATTTGCGTGATCTCACTTATCTGAATGATTGCATAATTGCCTTAACAGAGCTTCCCACTCTGTCATGTGGTGAAATTCATCTTCACAGGCAGAAGAGTCCTGTAAATATTAAAACCCAACCACATAGAGCTTCACATAAAAGGAGTTGTTTTGAATCTCACAGTGGTGAACTAAATAGACACAGTTTCACATCTTCCTGTCAAGCACTAAGCCCTGAGTTCGATTCAAGGTACAAAAAAAAAAAAAAAAAAAAAAAAAAAAAAAAGACATGTTTCCAGTTCTCAAGGAATCCTGTATTTAGCTTAGTAAAAGAAACAGATATTCAATGTGGAAACACCTGAACAAGTGTATGATTACAAACTATAACTCTTATGAAGCATGAATGGATGATACTGTGAATTAGAACACTGAATGTGTTCATTAGGTGAGTGAAAAAAAGAGCTGAGGGTGTTTATAGTTATGTCCTAAACCATTTCATGCTAACTTCATTAAAAGTTTAACATTTGTAAGTAAATCATTCAAATCATAATCACCACCATGTGCTCATCTCCAAAGTTAAGTTGAATACTGGAAATCCTTTCGCTTCCCAGATCATTTTAATAATTTCATTATTGTTCCATTTATTGTCTCTTATGAAATGTAAGGTTTAACTCATGTTTACATACCATATATACAACTATATAGACAACTGACAGATTTTTTTCCTATATTCAGGATTCTAACTATAATTTTAATCACTCAGTGATTACACAGTGTCTTTACATAGGAAATTATTATTGGAAAAGAGGCCATTTTCTTTTCCTTCTAATCTTTAGCTCTATTTCTTCTGTTTTCTTTTGAATTCTTTAATGCTTTTTAGAGTATTTATGTTCAATGATTTGTTATTTTATTATAATTTATCTAGACACATATTAACTCTTTTTCTTTTTCATTTACTGTAATTCTGAGATCTGATAATTCAATTCTAGAAAAATTTAAGGTATAATTAACTCAAACATTACCTTTTCATTATTTTTTTGAAATTCAAATAAGATGTAGGTTACATTATTTTCATTCTCATTAATCCATACAGTTTCCTTCTCATATATTCTATTTGTTTGAATTTCCATATTTTGCTCCTTAAAATCTTAAAACACACTTTTCATTTTCTAAAAATGTGATTGGATTATATTTCAAATTACCTGGCCTTTTTTGATAACTAAGTTATGAGAAATACAAGGTACAACTGATTCCAAGCATTCATAGTGGGGATTAGTGTGCCCTGGCTTCCCTCATGAATTTTTGGGTGGTGACTGCCAAGCGCCTACATAGAGCTATCTCTCCTCTCTACTGGGTGACCAACTGGAAAATAAAAACCTTGGCAATGTTACAAAACCTCCCCTTTTGCATGAAGGAAGAGTGAGGAACTGCACAGTGCAGTTTATGCTTCAGAAACCTCCTTTATTTGGTGGATAAAGACAAGTGGCATTGTTACTGAGACTACACCTTTTTCAGTTTTTTGCCCTGTCATACTCTCCTTTGATCTCTCATTTCTGTTACCTAGACTTATACAAATCCCTTTTTCAAGCTTTGTGTCTAGAAGATCCAATATAAGACAACGTTTCTTTCAAATATTCTTAATAATGGTAAGTATTTTATAGTTTGTCATCTTTAAATTTGTTGTTACTCATAACTACACTTTGCAAATGAGCCAAATATGCATGTGTCTGAGGTAAAGAACATCTTGGTGGTCGTTAATCTTATTAAAGAAAGTAGTAAGAGAAGAAAGGAAAAAAAGAAGGAAGGAAGGATGAATAGAACAAAGGAAGGAAGGAAGTGATAAAAATTTGAGAAGTACGAAAGCTGGATGATGATATTTGAGATTCCATTTTTCTTAGTCTTTGAAAATTAATTTTCTTAATCTTTGAAATCTTTTCTTAATCTTGAAAATCTTTGAAAATTATTTATGATTTAAATAAAAATCTGTAACAATTACCTCAGAATTCATGACTTCAATAATGTCATATGTGTATAACCTTTGTATCATACATTCTTATAATGGAAATAATCCCTTCTGCCTTCATAGGTAAAAAAATCTGTAATTTTGTTATAGAATTTTGTGTTACTTTAGGTTCTGTAACTCGGGAATTACTCATCAGTGGTTAAGAGACTGTTATCCTATGTATCAAGATGCCCCCCGCCAACTCACATGCTCATAGACTGGGCTTAGAACAGGTTGGATTGGATTATGGGGCTCTGATATTCATCAGTGGATTTCTCCACTGATGAGTTGACAGTTAAATGTGATGTTGGAAGGTGAAGCATATTTGGAGAGCCTGGATCAATGGGGGTGTGGGCTCGAGGCTTGTATCTCGCCCACTTGATCACTCTCTGCTTCCTGCTGCTATGTCATTCCACTCTGCCACAACCTGCGTTGGAGTCAGTTGGCTATAGAGTGAAATTTCTGCAAAGTGTGATCCAAAGTAAACCTTTCCTACTATAGATTTGTAGTTATTGTGTTTCAGATACAAGAAAAATAGTTAAGACAGATACAGAAGATGGAAACATTAGACTTATGCCATTTACAAATAATTGGGAGGTAAATAACATACGTGGATCACAAACAGAACACATAAACAGACACACACAAACACAACGACACACAAACACACTTTCTCTCTCTCTCTCTCACTCTGTCTCTTTTTCAAGGTCAGTGAACAAGTGAAAAGAAGAAGATATTCATGGACCAGTGCCTTTGCTGGGTCAAGGATTTTATTCAAACAGGTTTCCTACAATGAATTTTAATTGGTCATTTTAAAGCAAATATGCATAAGTTCCAAGAGGTTCACACAGTGACTAAGTGGTTGTCAAAATGGCATATCCCCAAGATGGACAATCTCCTGAGTAAAATCACAGGCAGCCCAAGCTCAAGGCCGCACGAAGTGTAATTGGCAAGGCCATAGGAATAGGGCTTCCCTGGAGTTCACATCTAAGCACAACTCATTGTAGATGCTATAAAGGAAGCTGTGTCATGTAATATTGTCCCTGCTTGGCTTTAGTCTTGCTTTGGTTCCACCATTTCTTCCTATCCCCCTGTTCTTCCTTTTTAAAATGGAAATGTTTATGCTGTGCCTTTACATGTTGAAAATATTTCAATTTGTGTTTGATTTTTATGGGGGCTCTCTGTAAAGAGTTTGCCTTGAGTCTCAGGGGAGACTTTGGACTTGGACTTTTCTGCAATGCCAGAACTGTTAAAACTATGGTGGCTGAGAGAGATGAAATACATGAAATTTTCATAATACTATAGACATGAGTCTATTCAGCCAAAGGGCAGAATGTTAATGACTTAGATCTAAAATATTCCCCCAAAGTCTCATGTTTACAGCCAGGGTCCATTGGTGAGGGTGGGGTCACTGCAGGCATGACCTCCAAGTATATATTCTTATTCTCAGCTCTGGCTCTTCTTTTCTCTCTCAGTTTTTTTGGCTTTCATGGGTTGAGCAGCTTTCCTTTGCCTTCAGCCCTACTGTGGAACCATTTCTGTGGAACCAGCGAACTATGGGCTGAATCCTACAGAAGACATGAGCTACAATAAACCTGTGGTCTTTTAAGTTGTGGGGGTCATGTGTTTTGTCCCTAGTAAAAGGGAAGTGACTAATAAAACAACATAAGGGACTAGAATGAGATATACAGCATGACAGAGCCCTGCTTTTGGCATAAGAAAGTCAAACTTATATCTTAAATTAATGACTGTGCAACATAAAATTTTAAAAAATTGATGTCAATTTGGAAGGCAGGATTATGTTCTGTATTGTGATTGCTTATGTGTGTTTCTTCCTTGCCCTATTCACTCAGTAATGCAGTTAATATTGTAGTTTACTTAATGTTACCCTCAGTACTTAACATTGCTCTGAAATTATGGTTTTTCTGTTGTGCAGAGAAAATTAATAAGAAATGTGCAGTTTTAACAAGTCAAATCTGCAGTTCACATTTACTTTGAGGCAGTCAGTGAGGTGTTTCCCTCAAAATAGCAGCTCATATAAAATTTTTCATTTCTGAAAATGGCTCTGATCTAACTCCACTAGAATATGTTCAAAATAAGTTTTA